GGAGAGTCCTCTAGGAATCTCCTGATAAGTAACGCAGGAGCAGTCGGGATAGTCACTATATTGTGTAAGTAATGCTTAATCGAGATATGACTCTAGCCAAATATTTGTCATTAACTTACATCAAACAGATCTGTTGGCCAATCTTGCTTACACGGCGGTACTGAGCGTTTCCACCGTAATCGGAGCTACTGGGTCAGATCCTAATGAAATTATAGGCATTTATTTTGCCGCGCAAATTGAACAGGGGGACGTTAATATTGGTGAATCTAATTTTCCCTTGACCAAAATAAAAGGAGCGCGTGCGTTGGCTTTTTTCATCTCTCTTAGTGCTTTCGGTGCTGCTGCCGTGTTGATGCAAACGTAAGAGATTGGATTAAATTATTATACGTATATATTGTGCTATCTTAACTTATAACTTACATCTATCTTGTTAAAATTAGTGCTTCGAGAGTGGTAGATCTAGCAGGCCAGCACAACTACGTTCCATTGGTTTCTGGGTGGCTGTCCACGTGGAATGCCAGGCTTGGGACGCCTGTAAATTCTTTTATTGCTCTCTTTGCTTGGTGCTCTATATTGACGCTGGTAGTTCCAGGCGAAAGTTCGTTCGAATTTTTAGTCAAGGTCGAACAATACGCCGAGTACTTTTTCTTCCTACTCGCAGCTATTGCTGCATTGGTATGTATATTATTTACTTGACGCTTGTGCTTCATTACACTTATTCGTATTAATGAAATGTTTACTTTCTCTTTGAAACAGTTGTTACGGAGGAGAAATCCAAACAGTACTACGTATAAGGCACCGTTAGCTGGCATAATTCTTTTTATTTTGTTCGCGTCGGCGATTGTTATCCTCTCGTGGGTACCACCAAAGAGCGGCCACGCATCTCCAAAAAATTCAACAACACCTTTGACAACACCTTTAACAACACCTTTAACGAATTCAACATCATCAGTGGTGACATGTACGTCTCAGTCTGTCAATAACTATATCGTCTACGGTACTAGTCTCGGAGTTCTGCTTTTGACTGGTGCGTTGTGGCAATTGATGAAGAATAAATTTACACGTGACGAAGAAACCGAACACATAACAGAATCGGGACATGGCCCCCGTGTTGGAAATGTTTGATGATATCTCACTTTACATCATCGGGACGTACTGGTTGTAGAGTGTATTTGTATAAACGGGTAACGGTAATGTATTTATAATTCTGTATTAATTACAATGTTATATTATGTTATATAGACTATATTTAATGCAATGGCGAGTGCATTACGATACTGCAGATTTTGTATTTACTTCTTGTTAGCTCTTGGCAGCACTTAGTAGAGTAGATAGAGAACGCGGTTCGTCTGGGCAAAGAGATATAAACGAATAGCATACGGTTAACATTTATTTCTGTATCACAGCATTCTTGAGACATATTTAAATAAACTTTTTCCATACAACTTGATTTATTGTACAATGCATTTCTTTTAGCAATTCCATGAAATACTAATATGGTTGGTTTTTATGCGTGAAACGATTTAGTTGTAAATAAATGCTAAAGTCGACCAAATCTATGCACCAAATTGTTGTCGATCTTTCTCGAAACGATATTAGCTAAAACCTTAGATTTTCTATAAGGACAACACAGAACATTGTTCCTTCGGTAAAGCACTATTATTTGGACCTTTTCTTAGGCAAAAGAACAAAAATAAAAGGCAAATCGGACAGGCTAGTTTATGTGCAAATATTTGAAATGCAGTTTCGCCATCCATTCGAACAGTACTCCATATGTGTATTATTATGGTAGAATAAGACCAATTACATGCATTCAATTTTTTCGTTTCCTTAACATAAGCGCTTTAGAATAGATAACGTGAAAGCAGAAACAGACGCCGATCAGAAAAATATGTCATAGTACCAGTCATATGATTTCGTTCGTCCAATTAGCGGTTATCGGTATCTATCACTTCCCACGGGATAATCGGAGTTAAAGACGCCGTTGCTTTTCTCATTTGGGGTTGTGTGTGCTTTGTTTTGTCGTATTTGTATTTACTATACGCGGAGGAGCTTCTGAGAAAGCATTTAGCAGGCCACTGTTGACATTTTACCTGTAAGCGATATACAGAACGCATGAAATTATAGCGATAATTACATTCAATTTATTGACTATTAATTATTCCAGGCATTGCGAAGAAAGATACACACAAGACATACGCTCTAACCCATAGCTGAAATCTTTGATAGAACAACGCTCCGACTGCTACTCCGTTTCTATTAGCGTTTTCAAATGGATAATCTAGAAATGGCAAATTTCTCCTCTGGGGGATTCTTTGAGGACATTGAGCGAGACTTGGGTACAATCCAAAACAACATCAGAACCATCAATTCTCTCCAAACATCGATTCTCTCCAGCACATCGACCTATCAAGAATCCCAAACGTCCACTCAAAGAGACGCATTGGTTGCTCAAACCAGAAAACTCGTTCTTGGCGTACGCGATAGATTGAAAAATATCGCTACCGAAAATGCTCGATGGCCGCCTACGGATCCTAATTTGCAGTTACGGCGACAACGGCACGCATTTTTAAGTGAAAAGTTTTCGAGAATATTGGATGAGTACAGAACGCTTGAAGGTGGATACATGAAACAACAAAAGGCACGAATGGCTAGACAGTATAAAGTCGTTAATCCACAAGCAACTCAGGCGGAGATAGATAACTATGTAGCAAATTCATCTAACGAGCCCATATTTCAACAAGCTCTGGCACAGACTGGCGCTGCTCGGGATGCGCTAGTCGAGGTACGCAAACGTCACGATGATATCAAGCAAATAGAATCGACTATAGCTGAGCTGGCGCAATTATTCGAAGAAATGCAATTTCTTGTAGATCAGCAAGATGCTGTTGTGGTGGATATTGAGCAACATGTGGAAAGTACTGTCGGAAAGATTGACAATGCTCAAGAACAACTGGATAAGGCTCGGGCCAGTGCTCTTTCAGCAAGGAAGAAAAAGTGGATTTGCCTTTTAATTTTAATCATCATTATTGCCATTATAGTAATCCTGTTGATATTATATTTCAAAAACTGGAAGACGTCATAAACCTAGTATCATGTTATGATCAGGGGATGTGCTGGAGAGAGTATATTTGTAGTAAGATTAACGTTTTGAAGATTGAGTTTATTTTAATAGTAATTTTTTTCCTTTCTACTTCTTCTTCTGATGTTAATTTATTCGCTCTGCTGAGTAGTTTTTTTTAGAATTATAAGCCATTAAACAGCAAATTACAATGATTTTGAACGATACAAAGGATGTAAGCTCATGCTCTCTGATATCCAATTATCCTAACGCACGTTCAATGCTTTTCTTGATGGCCAACTCGTTTCTAAAATCAAACGTGACCGTGTCAGATACAAATACTGTCAACTGGTGAGAACTTGT